ATTTTCATATCAACTCTGTTCAAAAACAAGTATTTATGCAATAAAACAACTAATCACAGATCACGCTAGATAAAAGATAACATAAGACGTCACTGAAGGCGTCAAAACGTACGTGGCGCAGTAGTTTAGCGACAACATGAGAGATAGAAACGACAAAACGTCACGTGGCTCTTCAGACATATGACTGCTAAATGTGGGCAGCACGATTTGATTCGGAGTGCATTTTTTTTTCTAAGGAAAACAATAAAATATTAAGAAAAAGATGTTTAGTGTAAAAAGATAAAGATTGAGAGTGATAGATCTCTAGATGGTGCCACACTGCCATGGTGGATTCAAACTTATCTTTGTTGAACTCAATCACGTGAGATTAGGCTGCTAATGGATCTTGCCACACATTTCATTACTTGTTCTTCTCCTACACAAAAATACCCCATTAGCGTTCAAAAGCAAGCGTTCCCAAAACGTAGATCTTCCATAGTTTACATTTCGACGATTAAATAAGTAACTGGATTAAGCTTATAAAAGCTAAACTTACCTGACAAATAGGTTCATGGAGCAAACTAATCAAAAGTGTGGCTAGGAGTTTTTTCCAACCTTTTTTCTCCTTGAAAAATAGCCTTTTGTAGGTCTTTAATAAGTGCATTTTATGCGGATTTTTATTCTTATTTCTATTTAAATTTAGGAAATATCTACTTAATTTGTATAAATTATGTTAATTGCAGGAAAATTCCAAATTGGATACAATTTATGTGAAAATAGGTTATTTGGAAAGTAATTGGAGTTGATTTGAAGTAATTGAAAATTGACTGGATTGCGAAAGATCAATTGGAAGTATTAACGAAGCATTCGGCAAAAATTCATAAGTTTTGAAAGTTATATTCATTGGGAATTTTGGAGAGTAAATTGCAAACTTTCAGAATTTGCCTTAGGTCAACTATAATGATTTTATAATAAAGAAGACTTAAATGCAAATACTAGAAGATGAAGTACTAAAATCATTTAAAAAATGAGTTTAATTGGAAAATTATTATTATTTTTTTTTCTTTTTCTTCTCAAACTCTTTGATGAAAATCAATTTGAACAAAAAATTTACCTAAACTTTGTCCAGTAAATACACACCTCATTCCAACAATTAAACGAGGCTTGATAGAATTTCATTCTACACATATATTCAATCCAAATGCTTGTATTCATTAGATGCATATATTCAAGCCGAGGTTTGGGAGATACATTGTACATATATTATACAAGCCCAAAAGAATGGAAAAATCAAGAAATCAATCAAAAACTAGAGTTTCAAGATTTTACAAGAAGAACGTCGAATCTTGGTGCAAGATATTCGTCTTTTTCCTTTTTCTCCTTAAAACTCGGTGATGTTCTTTAACTTCTTCTTATGTTTTTCTTCTCCCATGATATGTGATTAAGTAATTAGTTGGAATAAATGATTGTAACATAATAATTTAAAAGTTTTAAATCTCCAATTGATGTTATGAATTGTTTTTACTTCCATTCTTAATGCTTGGATTAATTGAATACATTTCTTTTGCAGTTTCCATCTGAAAAGTAACCTAATCGAGATTATTAATCGATTTAGATAATGTTTAGACCCTATACTGTGCATAGTGGGATTAAAAATAACAATTAAAAGTAACTAGTCAATTCTTAATTGTTTCAAAATAGTTAATTAATCACGTCAATTTATCCTAGGTTGAATTACCACAATTTGTAATACGAAAGCATTAAATAACACAAAATTGATCACAAAGAA